AACACTTCATGATAAGGTGGTTTTGAAAAGATTATTATTCTCTATCGATACCCTCGGTCAGATTGGAGTCTGCTGCAGGGTCAGCTCACAGTTCGCAGAACCTAAATCTTTAGGTTTAAAATTCTAAGACTAAGCTGCTGGAGATGGCATAAGCTGAGCGAGGGGGAGCAGCATCTATTGGGCTCTGACCCTCATTTTATACTCTTGATTCCAGAAGAAGAGACATAACATGAGATATAATTCTTAGGCACAGCCCATCCAAGAAGCAGGGACTTGAAGCAGTTTCTACCCAGAGGGAAGAGCTGGGACGATTGTTAAGGACATCTTTATCTGGGAAGGTCAGATTGCAGGAACCTTTCACAGAATGTGTTTGTTTTACCAGTTGAGAGAATTGAATGTTTGCAGAGCTTTTGGTTAAAATTCCATCTTGGTTGCAGAGAGATTATTGCTGAGGAAAGCCAAGCACTTCAGGGAGAAGAGGTAGAGGTTGACAAGAAGAGAAATATTATATTTTCCTTTTTTTTATGTTTGTTCAGCACTTTATTCAGTGGTATGGATTTGAAGTCTGATGTTCTTTTTAACTTGGGTGAAAAATATCCTAAAGCCCATCTGCGTGTGTGTGTTAGTGTTCTCACGTGGTTGAGGAGTCTGTAGAAGCATCTCCATTTCTATGGGGGAAGGATGAGCTAGAAGGCATCGTTATTTACTCTGCTTCTCTGATTCTGAAGTGATTTGCAGGAAATGATTTTATTTTATTTTTTAATTTAAAAAATTTGTTTTGAGAGAGTCTCACTTTGTTGCCCTTGGTAGAGTGCAGTGGCATCATAGCTCACAGCAACCTCAAACTCTTGGATTCAAGCGATTCTCTCCCCTCAGCCTCCCAAGTATCTGGGACTACAGGCGCCACAATGCCTGGCTATTTTTAGGGTCTCACTCTGGCTCAGGCTGGTCTTGAATGCCTAAGTTCAGGCAATCCACCTGCCTCAGGCCTCCCAGAGTGCTAGGATTACAGGCGTGAGCCACCGTTGCCAGAGGAAATGATTTTAAACCAATGCCTTTGAGTGCCCTGGTGTGATATCTTGGGTACTAATGTAATGTATTCTTGTGATTTAAGAAAAATGTCCATGTGTGCACAGCTATCATCTGTGTTTGTGAGTTAATATTGTCCTTAGTGGTTGTGTGTAACCAGATAATTGCTCACGTAGAGTTAGAGTGTAGACCAGTGGTTCTCAACCTTCCTAATGCTGCGGCCCTAGTTTGAGAAGACCAAGTCTCTCTCTTGCTCAGTCTGGTCTCAAACTTGGGGGCTCAAGACATCCACCTGCCTTGGCCTCCCAGAGTGCTAGGATTATAGGTGTGAGCCCCTGCGCCCGGCCCAGCAGTGACTTATTTTGAATTAATTGGGTGGGCTCAGCGCCTGTGGCTCAAGTGCCTAAGGCACCAGCCACATACACCTAAGGTGGCGGGTTTGAATCCAGCTTAGGCCCACCAAACAACAACGATGGCTGCAACCAAAAAATAGCCAGGTGTTGTGGCGGGTGCCTGTGGTCCCAGCTACTTGGGAGGCTGAGGCAGGAGACTCCTTGAGCCCAGGAGTTGGAGGTTGCTGTGAGCTGTGATGCTACGGTGCTCTACCTGGGGGACAGCTTGAGGCGCTGTCTCAAAAAAAAAAGAATTAATTGGGTAATAACATTTTTGCTCATTGGGTAGATGTGCTTATTCTGCTTAAAATGGGAAAACTTTATTCAGATAATTTTTCCATAGATGTGTGATCCTTTTTCTTACATTTTCAAATTAGGCTACTGTCCAGCTTCACTGCAGTTCTTTTTAAATCAGCATCCTGATTAAGTGGCTTGTCCAAGGGCCACCATTTAGTATCACCACACTAAACGGATAGCTTTCATTTTACTCAAGACAGGCTGAGTTTTGTAAATTGGAGATTGGGAATTGGGACTGTAAAATTGCAACTGACCGAAGAAACATGAGTCCCTGATTTACTCCTAGGTCATGGTTGGGAAGAGGAGCTGCTGAGACAGAGCAGACCTGGTGTTACTCTAGGGGACAGGTTACTTCCCCCTAGCTATGGCTTCCAGGAGTTAGAGCCTTCCACGAATACCAGGAAGGCAGTGACCTGTTACTAACTTTACCCCCCAGCTACAGTTCATGTTTCTGGAGTTACTATTCTGTAGGATTCCAGAACTTCTTTTCCTTTGACACCTTTCTCTGTCTTTGTGGACCACCCAGCGATTACATACCCAGAGCCCAGGGACTCCAGGAAGATGTTCGCTTAGCAGTTCCTCTGGGAACTTTTGCAGTCAGTTACTTTATTTAATTCTCCTCATGTAAGAGTTTGCATACCTCTTGCTGAATGCTCATGTGGGTCATTAGGAAAGTTTTGAGATACACAAAAATCAAGAAATGTAAAAATCCATGCAGAAGAAAACAAATGAAGCCCTTGCAGCAAGACTGATGAAGGTGAAACTTGCACAGGTGAATCAGAAAGGACGCTGTTGACTGTGTTTCTTGGAAATGACATAACAGACCATAACACAGCCTGTGTCAAAACTTTTGCAGTAACCCATGTATAAAAAAGTAAGAAAGCCTAAGATAAATATATGCAAAAAAAAACTGACACAGGAGCCTTCAAAACCCCATGACTTCAAACAAAAATCTTACCCATCGTTGCATAAGACCTTGTGGCCTCAGAATCTATGAATGCAGGGATACTTGGGTGGTTCTGAAGCCTTGGTGGACCACACAGCTTGTGGGTCGTTCAGGTCTTGGTTTCTCTTTTCTCCCCTCCTGTTAGCACTTCTACCAGAGGGTAGAAAGAATTTAACTTCAAGGATGATTTCCATTTTCTAGCAACAGTTCGTGACAGTTTGGGAATATCTGATTATTGTTATTTTTACTTTAATTCATCAAAAAATGATTTTGTTTTGACATGAAAAAGTCAGCCCAACCTCAGTTTATAAACCAGCCCAGCTCTGGCAAGTGTATTCCTTGTTCCATCTGTGTCAATTCTAGGTTCTCAAACTTAACTATGCAAAAAATTCAACCGAGGAAATTCCTGGGTTCTGCCCCTTGGTATTCATTCTCTGTAGGATAGGGACCAGGATTTTGCATTTCCAAATTGTCCACAGGTCCTTCTGATGCAGATTAACTGGGGGCTGACTTTGAGAACTGCTGCCTTGGAATTTCTACTTGGTGTTCAGGTACCTGCCCAGCGTTCTCTGTGATTAAATGCGTGGCAGTTAGCAGTGTGTGATTACAGTGTGTACAGTTTCCAAGGCAACATGCATTCTGTCACTCCTGCTGAGGCTGGGAAGATTGAAAGGGGCCATGGAGAGGCTGTGGTCGTGGTGCAGCCTCCAGATTCACGCCATTCTAGCCCTGGGTTTTCACACCTTTCACCCAGGGCCCTGCTTAATGGCAGAAGCAATAATGGAAATAAACACATTATAGACCAGAGAGACCCTGGGACAGGAGTGGGGATGAGTACAGCATTCCCTCCCCCCTTCCACATCTCCACAAATCAGTTTTGTCTAGGATGATCAGGATGTGGAGGAACATGCAGTGACCTTGACAGGCTTCAGAACACAATGCTTATTGGGGCCCACATTTGCCTGCCCTTCCTTAGTTCTCAGCTGGGACGGTCCTGTTCAGGTGCATCTGTTCTCACTTTCTGTCAGAGTGGCTTGATGTTCCATTTATGGAGCTGCTTACTATGTGTTGGGAACTTTCACATACATTATCTTGCCTTTGGACTTTGATTTCTTAGTCGACAGGCAAAATAGTCCACATTTTATACATTTCTAGATTTAATGAAAATCTGTATAGTATTTTAGCACAGGATTCCGCCTTTACAGAGCTCCCAGTCAGACTTTGGGAACTGGTTCTGAATTCCATCATGAATAGGTTTTATGACTGCAGGTAAGTTTCTTAACTTCTCTGAGTCTCTGTTTCTACTTCTGCAAAATGAAGAGCTTAGACGAGATCAGTAGTCTTGACTTTGGAAGGGTGCAGCCAGGAACCTTCTTCCCTGAAAAGGTACATGTATACTTACTTAAAAAAAAAGTACATTCACTTTCTAGAGGACCATGAATCCCTGATAAATGAAATAATTTAAGACTTTGCCAAGTGCAGCTCAGAATTGCTGGGTTCCACAGGACCTCCTGGAGAGCACTGTTTGAAGAGGCCCCCTGAGGAATGAGCTATTTGATGTGGGAGGCTTTGTTGTTCCTGGCATTTTTCACTAACTGCCCTGTGCTTTGGGGTAGGGGGTGGGGGGATGGAAAAACGCTGAGAAAAATAAATAGGGAATGAATGGCATTTGGAATATGAACTGTTTTCCTTATCATTTGCCACTATTTTGGCCTTTCAGAAGGAGGTGGATGGTATGATTGCAACATGAAGGACTTGTAAGGGAATTACTTCAGCCTTCAGACACGGCATCTTATACAGCGACGTATAAGCAGGAACTTAAACTTGTTCTACTTGTAATGTTTGGGCACTCACTTATATGTAGGATCTAACAATGTCGAACTCACAGAAGCAGATGGTAAAATGGTGATGGAGGGGCTCTGAGAGTACTGGGGTGAGGGATTAGAGAGAGTTAAAGTTCAGTTAGACAGAGGAAATACCAAGAGATCTATTGTACAACATGGTAACTATAGTTATTAACACATTACTGTGTACTTGAAAATTGCTGAGAGTATATTTTTAGTGTTCTTACCACAATAAAATAAGTATGTCAGGTAATACACACATTTATTAATATATACATACTTTAAATGTCATGTTATATACCATAAGTATGTGCAACTTTTATATGCCAATTATACTACTCTAGGGAACATGAGTGGGAATAGTAAGTGTTCTTTGCCACTTTCTGGCTGTTAACTGATTACCTTCCCAGCCCAACCCTGTCTCTGTCCCATGGCCTAAAGTATTGTAATCCATTTGGGAGATAGTATCTGTAGTGTTTATTTGGAGACCTACACATTTTCTTTGTTTCTCTACTTAGGTGTTGAAAAATCTCCTCCAGAACTTTGGAAGGCTGAATGGACTAATCATGAAGAGCTTGAAAGCAAAGTTCAGGAAGAGTGATGTAAGTAAGCTGTGACTCACCATCTGGCCGCTCGGCCTCTACTCCACAGAGCTGCAGAAATAGTGCCTCATCTGTCCTTGATACGGGGCTGCTGGGTTATTAAACTGCAGACACCAGGGCACTCTTGGCCCCTGCTCAAGGTGGCTTCTGCCAATGGCATGCGCTAGGTTCCTAGCTGTTTGCACATTTCAAGGGTGACATTTTAAAAATGTTAGGGGTCTATGTCTTGTAGAGTAAGGAACAGTCAACATTAAACATCTTAAGAGAAAGAGCAGTTTCTCAAGTTGCCAACGTCCTAATTCAGAATGTCACTTTTAAGAGGAACTGGTCTCAGGAAGGTGGTTAAGGAATTGCATATTAGCATGGCTCATCTTTGGCTTCAGATGAACTCTCTGTTAAGCCTCTGGTGGTAAAACAACAATATCTTTTGCTGCCTGCACCTTACTCCCCCTGAATTCCTGGGGTTCTTACTCATTTTGTTATCCATCATAATAGCCTTTGGATTGGAGGAACCAATTCTGATGTCAGAATTATGAAACAAAGTCTCCCAGAGGAGAAAATGGGGAAAAAATAACATAGCAGAAGGGTGATACACAAAGATATTTTAACAAAAGGTCTCCTTATAAACCCTGCTGGGACCCTAATCTTGTACGAGCTGCATTCCAAATGCTTCAACGGAATCATAGAGTGGGAGAAATTCATAGAACGGTATGAGATAGAATCCCAGGTATGTCTTCTTTGAAATAGCTGTTATTTTACATGAGGTGATTAAAGATGAACCTGGAGTTTATTGCTTTGCCATGAATTACACTTTGACAGCTTGGCACAGCTGCCTTTTTGCAGTAAATGGAGGCTGCCTCTTTTATGGCTAGCATGTCACAGGCACACCTACTTTTGGCAGAAGCTTATCTCCCGAGGCTGCATCCTGACATATAACTTACTGCCCTGATAAGGCCCAGGCCAGATGAAATGCTGAGAAGATGATTGCAAAAGATTGGCTCGCTTAAAGAAAGGGGCTAGGGGCTTTTTCTTAGGAAAAAGCTGGTCTCTCCTTCTCTTTCTTTAGTAAAATTGACTAAACCTGACATGAAATGGGTTGGCCAGCACCATACAACCTGCTGTTGGCCACAGCCGGAGCCCATGTTACCTGACTTCCTTGGCCCTGTGTTCCTGCTGTTCACTGAGAAAGGTTCTCAGCCTCTCATTTGCTGGCTGGGTCAAATCACAGCCCATGTATCTCCTTCGACTTTTAGTTAAGGAGGAAAGGGCAATTAAATGGAAAATGTTGCCCAGTTCAGCGGATATGGGTTTCTTAAATTGTCTGACTAAGTTAACAAATGTCTTTTTCCACTGCAAGGGAATTTGGATAGCTTCCATTTATATAGGTCAAAATTATTTTAGCAAAATTTCATCAGTCCGGAGTTCCATGATAGATGAACAGGGGTCTGGGGTAATGATAGACACATAAATTTTTGGTTTAGAAATTACAGACTGGTGGCAGTAAAGAGGGTGTTGCTGGAATCTAATTTAAAAAAGAAGAAAAAACCGAAATATTTCCATCGTTTAAAAAAAACCCCACAGTAATAACACTAGTAAAAGCTTCTGGGATTTGGCAGCAGCAAAGGATTTTGGCAGTTAGCGGGAAGAGAAGAAATGTTCATGGAACAGACCTGAGGGAGGAGAGAAAAGGAATTGGTAGAGGGAGCCAGGAAATTTCAGACGTCTCCCCCAATTCATCACGAATGGTTTCCCCAAGACATGTCACTGTAAAACTAAATGGAGGAAATAAAAGCAGAAAAGAAAACCATGTCAAATGCTAGTTTGTTAATCAGCCACATGATGATAATGCTGATCATAACTGATCATTATGAAGTGTTTATTGTATGTCCCGTGTCGTGCCAAGCTCTTCATATGGAATTCATTCGTCTTACCACAGACCTTACATGATAGGTATTACTGTTAAGCTCATTTTATAGGTGAAGAAACTGAGGCCTGGGGATGTACAGTAATTTGCCTGGGTTCTTAGAGCTCTAAGTTGTAGAACCAGTTTTTTAGCCAAGGTGGTTGGATTCCAGATCCTGTTTTCTGAAAGAGGAGGAGTCTTGGATGGAGATTCTACTTTACAAAACTGGGCGATCTAGAGAACAGTGTGGAAAGGCAACTCTGGACTCAGACCTAGGATTGTGGCCTTAGACAAGTGTCTTCTGAACTTCAAGTTCTTCACCTGAAAAATAATAGTATTCACCTTACAAGGTGGTCGTGAAGGTTAAATGAGCTACTGAATGTCAGACAGACATCCTGAAACCTGGTCCTCATGCGGTACTTAGTTCATATTCAGCCCTTTCTCCTGATTAGGAACCCACAGTAAAAAACAGGATTCAAAAAGTTTATGGGGTTGGAGGGTAGAATAATGTGGAAACACGGCTGCTGGTGAGGAGGGGACCTGAGAGCTGGGAGAGAGGGGGGGCAGAGCTTGCTTTTCAGTGTGTGCTTTTTGGTTTGGGTGGTTTGGTATCTGTGCATGCATATGTATGTATTCCTTGTTACAGGAGAAACAAGTCTACACATGTTTACATTCAGTTAAATGAGCCAAGCGATAATCTTTTTTTTACCTGAAACAAGTGGTTTTTCTTAAAATATCCTAAACCATCCACCATCACATTTTTCTGCTTGTCTGTGTGTGAGGGAGGAAGAGGAAGAAAGGGTTCTTTGTATTTCTGGGGGGTAAGAAGAAGATAGTAGATCAGGTTCTCCTGCCTGTGTGAAGAGAAGACAGGTGACCCACAGGTGCGATCACATTTCAGCCGGGCTGCGCCTGGGAGGTCAGCGGCCAGATCAGTTTGTGGACATTGTGAGCAAAGCCTGGGAGTAAAAAAAAAGGGCAAAAGTGAACCAAAGGGGCCTCCTACAGATGGCCTTCAGGGTGCTCTGTGATCTTAGGACTGTCATGCGGGTAGAGGTATAAAGGGAGTGTCCTTTGCCGCTGGAACCATGTCAGGCGCAGGTTTACGTGAGTGTAGTAGGGGAAATTAGTTGTTTTGATCCTTAAAAAGCATTTAGCACCCTGCACATAACCCACAGAGGCTAATGTGAATTTTGAAACTTTTATTATGGTGGATAACCCTTTTTGTTTCACATTTATAAGTTTTATTTTGGGAGCCCTTAAAGTTGGGTTAGATACGAGAGGGGATATAGGAGAAATGTGAAGTATAGTTCTTGTCTTTAAGAACACAGTAAACTTAGGGAGGAGAAAAAAATATAGGAAATAACTAAGGCAAAATACAAGTAGGATAGAATACAGATACTAACGTCACCTTCAAGATGCTGTAACTAGTTGTTAAGTTGTGGGACTTGGTGATAAAATGCTATCGATTTTCAGAGAGATGAATCACTGGAAGTGGGCGAATTTGTGAAGCTTCATGGAGGTGGGACTTCATCAAGGCCTTGAAGATAGGTGGGACTTGGAAGCATAAGTGGGATACGGGGCAGGCCAATGCAGGGAGCCAGCCTGTAGCATGATGGGAAGATTCAGTCTCAAAAATAGCCCTGGTCATGAAAAATGGTAATACTTCAGGAGCCCACCCCAGTGCCCTGAGTATTGGCTCTGAGTATGTCAATAAAACACTATAAAGTTTTCATCTAGTTTTTAAAGTGGATAGACTGACTTGTATGCTTACAAAAGAAGCCCAGAGTTCTAAATCATCATCATTTATGTCTTTTATGACTATAATTTGAAAGAGACTGCTTTACCTCTCCAAATATTTGCAGCCACTGGCATGTGGTTCCACATGGAAAAATGAGCTGTCATCATGAGAAATGAAGCCAGAAAGGTTGGGATTTCCCTTCGCTAATAAAATGCTTAGGCTTCTGGAATTTCTTTGTAAATGCCAATGTTCAGTGCCTTGAGTGAAAAGGGTGGAGGTGGAGGGATAGGAAGCAGAGTTGAAAGATCTTTGTAACAAATCTTCAGAAATGCCACTCAGACATGACTGAGGGCTTCACAGTTTACTTTGTGGGTGTGTGTTCACTTTTATGAAAAATTTGTTCCAAATTACATTTTCCCTTTTTAATAGAGAAGCAGCAGACATTCCATTAAAAAAAGCAAAATAGCCAGTTTAAAATGACTGGCTCCGTGAAAGATTAAATTTTTGGTATACCTTTATGGAGGAGCTATTGTAGAGCTGTTGTAGCTTCTAGCCAAGGAAGTGCACACACCCCATGAATCTTGGGGAACCAGACACATCCTGTTCAGACAGGGGTTTGAATTTGTTGCCTGTTGAGATAACAGCTCTTATGAAGGTCGACGACCGACATCTCTGCCAAGGTATTTTTTCAAGGAGGTCTTAGTTATTTATAATATGTCGTTACAGATGCCTAAGCCTCCCTCCTCTGCCCCACATACACACAAATGCTCTTGTACACACAAAATGATAGTATTTGAAATCCACTTCTTTCTGTAGACAGGAGTCTTGGTCAGATCCACTGTAAAATTGAGCTGCTTTTTTCATAGATATAATTTTAAAATACAGGCAGTCTTTGAGTTACAAACATCTGACTTATTTACGACTCACCCTTACAGAGGCTACAATAGGTAATAGGTAAATGTGCCTGTCCCAACTTAGCATACAAATTCAACTTAAGAACAGACGTATAGAACAATCTTGTTCATAAGCTGTGCATTGAAGATGACCCCTTTGGGCAGAGGTGTGAGACTCTAGTAAAAGTTCTAGAGAGAAATTTAGTCAGATTTATGTCATGCTACATATTTTCTAGGTCTTTTTAGCCCTTTTTAAACCGAGAAATTGCTTGCTGCCTGATTTCACCCTGGATCAGTGTGCTAGGGCTGCTACAGCAAAGTTCAAAAACTGGGTGGCCAAACAACACAAATTTATTGTGTCCAGAGTTCTGGAGGCTACAAGTCCACGATCAAGGTATTGGCAGGATTGACTCCTCACCAGGGCAGTGAGGGAGAAGCTGTCCCCTGCTGTGTCCTAGATTCT